CGGGAGTTTGGATAGGGCAAGAGGGGTTTTTGATCAAATGATTGAGAAGGATGTTGTTTCGTTGAATGCCATGATAATGGGTCTTGCACTAAATGGTGAAGGACATGAGGGTTTGATGCTTTTCTACAAAGTCACTCGGGATTGTTGGAAAAAGGACGTGAAATTTTTAAGGAGATGAGGCAACGTTATTCTGTTACCCCTAGATTGGAGCATTATGCTAGCTACATTGATCTGCTATCACGAGTAGGTTGTATTGAGGAAGCACTTGGCGTTGTCACCTCGATGCCATTTGAGCCCAATAATTTTATTTGGGGTTCTCTACTTGCTGGCTGCATGCTCCACAACAGATCAGAATTGACCCAAAGCATTTCTAATATGCTTGTTAAGGTTGATCCTCAGAATTCTGCAGGCTATGTCATGTTATCTAATGCATTTGCTATTGGTCGTCGCTGGTGTGATGTTTCTGAGCTGAGGTGCTTCATTAGGGAAAAGGAGGTGACCAAACAGCCAGGGTGCTGTTGGATTAACATCAATGGAGTAGTGCATGAGTTTCTTGCTGGATTTGTGCCGTGTTCTCAAAATGAGAGTTTACAATATACACTGGAAGGATTGGTCAAGGAAATGAGATTAGCCAATTCATAGAATTTTGGTTCCTCAAATGTCAACTTCATTGAGGAAGAATGTACTGTCCCTTTTGACATTCTGGTGAACAGTTGGAGTGGCATTCTTCATTGATGGGTAAATCTCTTTGCTTTAAAATCCGCTTTCAAATGCTTCTAGTGGGTTTTATTTATGATAAATCTGTTTGCATTGTTTGATAATTTTGTAGATTTGAAAGTTTGCCCTGAAGTGCATGTTTGATACCGGCTAGTTAATAGAGTTGGACACTGTTAAAAACAAAACTTAGCTTTCATTTCTTCATTGATACCTAACAGTTCGACATTCGATTAAATCAATCAAATTCTCTTCTGTTAATATTAGATCAGTTTCCACTAATTTTGTATTAAAAAAGTGCTGAACTTTGTTCTATTTTTCTTTGCATGGTAATTTTACGTGTGCACAGTCCAACAGCCTGATGAGAATGAATGATTTCCTGTAATTTTTTATTTTTTCTGTGCTGCGTCAAACCAAATATAGTTGTACTAAAAACATTCTTTTCATATTTATTTGTTTCATTTTTGTTGTTGTTTGGCAGTATTAGGGCAATGCAAAAATTGCTAGAGCATCTTACAACCTCAAAGCAAAAGTCCATAGATACGTGCCTCCACTTTCACGTGCATTATGTTTTTCATTTTATTTTATTGTTATTTCAATTTTGTTGAATAAATATTTTATGTGCAATGATATTATGCAATTCACCTGGATGTATATATACTCTCTTTTTCTTCCCTCAATTATGTAATTGTACTTGCAAATAATTGTTATTTCATTTAGTTTGTAGAGAGAATATATGATTTGGCATAACGTATAGCGTCTGTTTGACACCCATTATTTTGGATGGAAAACAATGTTTTCAACAAATGATCAGGGATGGACCCAGAGTTATGGTTCAGCGGGGACGACATGGAATTACGTAAAAATAATTTCAAATTAGACTTACTTTATTGGATTTGGGTTAAAAATTATGGGCTAAAATTATGTGAACTTTTTTTTCAATGTCGAAAATTGAGGGTTCAGTGACTTCAGTCTGGGCAATTGCACCCATTGGACCTTTAATGGGTCCGCCCTTGAGTACAGTGGCCTTTGAAGAGTGACATGTAGTCTTATCACTTGAATGGTAAGTTGCACTTTAATGCAATATTATGTTCTCTCAATCTACCCTCAAATGCATTTGTACAATTAATCACATCTTACAAGGGCAATGTTGTAATTTGCTAAGTTAAATGAGGGCATCAATGGAAAAACAGTTTCCAACGGGTCACAGTCCTGAACCAAAAATTACTACATGTCAGGTGGTAGGTAATTAATTTTTTAGGATAATGCTATGAGTACAGGAAAGTTGTTACAGAAATTTTACAGGAATTCAAAACTGTACACGTGGCAACAAAGAAAAAAATGTTTGAAATGAAAATGAAAGAGGGCCAAAACCGGGAAAATCATTTTCATTCCACAATTTCCCCAAATAGACTCCACTTCGCTACTCCAATGGCGCTAAAAAATCCAGCCGGCGAGATTCTCCATCTCCGACCATAATCCGACTACCCTCGGACGATAATCCGACCACAGCCCGACTTTATACATCTCCGGATCCGGCTAATCCAACGGTGCGCGAAAACAATTCCGGAATAGACAAACGGTCAAAGAAACATTTGAACCACTTGCGGCAAACCCAGATGATAGACAGGTATTTTCTTTGTTGGTTCTAATGTATAGTTAATGCATCCCTTTTTTTGCAACATGTAAATACGTAGAAGGGTTCTAGAAATGAGAAACTGACATGGCTATAGAGATATCACTACAGAGAGGTTATAGATAGGGGTAATGTGCGAACATTTGGTAAGCATGATATTTGGTTTTTATGGGTGTATCGATGCTATACTCATGGTTATTTCATTTGGAGTGAGAACCATTATTTGAGCCGTTCTGGAGGTGCTGTGTATGTGTATGAATTTCTAGTTAGAAACCCTTTGAGCATTTTTCGAGATTTTGTGAACTGTGTAATGGAATTTCATCTTTCTGAAATTTGAAGATTCAATGTTTGTTGAAGTTATAGAAGTGTTAAAATTGAGAACTTGAATAGTAGTAACTATAACAGAGGTGTTAAACATACATCCTTGCACTACTAATTGCATATCCAAGTTTGAGATTATCTGGAATGTTGCAATTATATTGCATGAGGTGAAGATAGAAATGAAGCTGTAGAGGTCTTCAAACTTTTCGTGTGTACTGAGATTCAATGTGAATTAGATGTTCGTTTCTATTTGACTTGCTCAAACATTTCATTATGGAATTTGTTAAGCAATTATTTGAATTAGTCATTACATCATGTTGACATTATTTCTATGTGCTTCATACGCAACTCACAAGTCACAAGGGCAGGAAATAATTGTGGTGTATGTCATGGCTATAGACGTAACGATCACTTGTTTAAGGATTGCCCAAATAAGCGTAACGATCACTTGTTTAAGGATTGCCCAAATAAGCGCCCATGCCCGTGGTGTAAACATGCATTTGTGAAGAGTTTTGTGGTGGCGAAGGAGGCTAACAACAAAGGCAAAATGTTCAATTGTTGTAGCGCGAACTGCGGATATTGGAAGTGGGTGAAAGAGGATGAAACAAGCGGTGAATCAAGTTCCGGTGACAATGCACAAAGGAAAAGCGTGTACGGAATGAAGTTGCAAAAGGAAATGGGCTGGAGTGATTTGTAGTTGTAGATTGAATGAAGTTGTAATGTAAATTAGGATCAGTACATGTTATTTAACTTTGAATCCCTACTGTGGTTTAATTCTAAGTCATTTGGATGTCATGTATCGTATTTTAGTAGCAAGGTCTAGCTATGGAAAGGTGCATCGAGTATTTTGTTTTGTTTGGTTGTGAATTATTGGTTGAAGCAGCAAATCATCTTGAACGTAATAATAATAATTCATCAACAGTTTGGTAAATTTGTTTCCTTGGGACATAATATTAGTGTATACACTTTCCTCCATAGATTTCATGAAGAAGATAAAAACTGAGGTGAATACAAGAAGTGCTGGAAAAAAAAATCTAAACTGATCAATGAAAATTATACGAAGTGCATCCATTTTAATGTTCCGGCACAACAAAAACCAGCTTCCATCCATGCTTGCATCTATGATTACCAGGGGCATCAATGTAGCAACTGATGAACAATGAAGCAAAGTGGTCGAACTCGAAATGGACATAAACATCGGTCACAATCACAATCCTGTGCCACCTTCATCCTCTAAATAAATCATGATTCTCATCTTCCAGAATCTCTTTTCCTGCAACAGATTTGAAACAGAAAAACCAATTACACAACAATAACTAATAGAACAACTCATTTTAGAACGAAGCAAAGCACTCATTTTCCCGTGAGACCTTATAGATTAATTCTATACTTTATTCGTTGTAAATATTGTATGACACTATAAATGTCAAGTAAACTGCAGATTAACAACATCTCTTCAGTTAAACAGGCTAAAAATCCACTTCATAGAGGGTAAACATCACACATTACCCCTAAGATATTGGAGAGACATCACTATAGTCTATAGCCACGTCAGTTTCTCATTTCTAGAACCCTTCTACGTATTTACATGTTGCAAAAAAAGGGATGCATCAACTATACATTAGAACCAACAAAGAAAATACCTGTCTGTCATCTGGGTTTGCCGCAAGTGGTTCAAATGTGTCTTTGACCGTTTGTCGATTCCGGAATTGTTTTCGCGCGCCGTTGGATTAGCCAGATCCGGAGATTTATAAAGTCGGGCTGTAGTCGGATTATCGTCAGAGGGTAGTCGGATTATCGTCGGAGATGGAGAATGTCACCGGCTGGATTTTTTAGCGCCATTGGAGTAGCTGAGTGGAGTCTATTTGGGGAAATTGTGGAATGAAAATGATTTTCCGGTTTTGGCCCTTTTTCATTTTCATTTCAAACATTTTATTCTTTGTTGCCACGTGTGCAGTTTTGAATTCCTGTAAAATTTCTGTAACAACTTTCCTGTACTCATAGCATTATCCAATTTTTTATTAATGTAACACTGTTGAAAAAATTTGAAACTTAACCTTGTGATTGTCTTGTACAAAAAATAACTGTTAAATGCTTCAATTTTGTATGTACATCCTATGAGTACATATTTTTCTTTTCAAACTCAAAAATGGAAAAATAAAATTATGTACTAGTTATATTCATGTTTTTGTTTCAGGAATTATTTTTGTGCAGTATATAGTACAACTTAGGATACCTCATGTGACAAAACATATATTGAATCGACTTTCAGGAAGCTATATTCAACTATTGATGAGCAATGTCTTGGAAAAACATTTGGAGTCTCAAGATGAAGAGGCGTAGTGATCCACAGTTGAAGATGGCTATTCGGCATCTTTTAGAAACTATGTTGCCCAATCTGCTTTGGACGTCTCTTAAGGTTTGATGTCCTTTTTTTCGTTTGCTGGCTATGCTATGACTGATATTCACGATAATTTGTTCAACAATGCACCCGAGTTCATCAAATTACGACATACGTGTCGCGTAGTATACTATAATACATACAATATAGTTATTGATGCTACGGTAATTGAAGATGGATGCAATGTTACTTTATTAATTTGTTTGATCTTCTATTAACATGACAAAAAGAGTACATAATTAGATACAATGTACCCAACATGAAGTCATTTGTACAATATTTATTCCATATTATAATGAGATAAATAATAATTTTTTGAAGAATGTGTTATTAAAAAAGTAGGAAAAGTTTTTGAGTTTACATGTAATATTATTTTATTAGAAAATGTGTGATTGATAAGAAAAGAGAGAAATAAATTATAATTTAAAATGGAATAATGGAGGTCTGGTTAATTTTCATCAGTAGTGTGTAGACTATTATCTAGCTGTCCGCCGGTATGCGGAACTCTCATCAACAAATATAAATAGAAGTTTTATGTATGAGATTTGTTCATACTTTTAGGTCTTGCCTCCAGATTCGATAAAAAAAAAGACGCGATTCAGCCACCACCGGACCCTATTCCCACCAGAGGGACATGCAACTTCAAACATAAAATCAGTGACTTCGATCACTTTGAATAGAGAATAGAGAAGTCACCTCGAAACAGAGTTGGTAGAGGATGCAACTGCATTACTATAGATCTGCAAAGAAATTTTCAGAATTGATGGAATTTTGTCCTTTGCATTGCTAGAGCATCTTACAACCTCAAGGCAAAAGTCCATAGATACGTGCCTCCACTTTCACGTGCATTATGTTTTTCATTTCATTTTTTTTTATTTCAATTTTTTTTGAATAAATATTTTATGTGCAATGATATAATTTCTATTTCAGCCATCTCATTAAATTGATTTTCCTTTCCTTTCCAATTTTTTTTTTTCACTTCCTCGATACCATTGATCAGTAGCTTTGTTCCGTGTCATTGAGAAATGTTAGGTTTCATTGACATTTTCATCTAATTTTTCAGAATGATGTTTCTAAATCTGTGGAAAAAAAATGAGATGGCTTTCTTCTATTTATCTCATTCTTAGAATTGTTGTGGTTTACTCTACATATAAAGTTTATGAACTGTGTGTTAGGCAGGAGGATCAATGAGTAGTGATGACAACACATTAATAAGGTCACTCTTGGGAAGGATTATTTGCGCACTGTTGATTTATGAAATATTTACTCGTAATGCTACTTGTTCGTTTAGGTTTATTCATTTATTGAGAGAATGATTGGATTAATCACGTCTGTACGAATATTGAACTTAACCTTTATTTTCCTCAAATTGGGATAAATATATGGATGAGTCGTTTTTCATTTATCTAGATTAAGCTGAAGTTGCGAGTGAAATAAAGCCCAGGCTTTTGAAAGTTTTAACCTTTTCCTAACTACATAAAAGAGGCAGTTTTTTTGTGCCACTTGTCGAATGCATATGATGTTTACCAAAACGACGTCGTTTAGTATGAAGCATTCGAAATCTGCTGTTTAACACTCGTATAGGAACCCTACCAATTCATCCTCTTGTCTTCTCCAACCAGATGCGAAATCCGGGAAACCGAACCAATTTCCGTGCCTTCTCCAACTTTCCACATCTGTGAAATTCCACAAAAGAATAACATCAGTGCATAAAGCCGATTATTTTTCCTGATTTTCCTCATTAGCTTGAAAATATACCACACCTATTCCTCTATTTCTTACCAATTCATCCTCTTGTTTTCTCCAACCAGATGCGAAATCCAGGAACCGAACCAATCACAGGTCTCATATAGGGGGGCCGCAGTATCCTCCGCCTCCGCCAATTGTCTCTCATCAAAGCGAAAACAATCCGCATCACCATCAGCATCATCCCCCCCTTCCTTCGTTTTCCCATCAACACAGCCACCACAGCTCGGAAGTCGCTAACAAACCCTCTGTTAGGGTTTATTCTAAGGCGGAGACTAATTACTCTTTGACCATCCGGGATGGGAAGGTTATCCTTGCCCCTTCCAATCCATCAGACCCATTTCAGGTATGTTCTTTGGTTACAAAAATTGAATCCCCTTATGTCTTTTTCTTCAATTCATGTTCAGAACGATCGATTTGTGGTGTATCTTGCTATTTCAGCACTGGGTTAAAGATGATAAGTACAGCACAAGAGTCAAGGACGAACAGGGTTTCCCCAGCTTTGCGTTGATTAAGAAAGCCACTGGGCAGGCCATGAAACACTCCATTGGAGCCACACATCCTGTATGTTCACTCTTTTATCTGTTGATCAGTTCGTTATTTTTTGTTTGTTTTCAAGTTTCCGTGTATTGTTTGGCAAATAGCGTCAGGCCGTATATATCTTTCTTCCTTGATAAAATCATCCAAACAAAGCATAAGCTTATTTTCCTCTCCTTTAGTTCAATCTCGAGAAGTCCTTGGAAAGTTTGGCAAAATAAAAAATAATTCGTATTGAGTAGGTTTTTGTGAAGCGTGGTTGAAGATCAATAAAGTTGTCTTGTTGCGTTTTAGTGATCACTTAGTGTTAGCAATAAGATAACTACCTTCCGGTGCTTTTTCCAAAACATGGACAATTAGTTTCATACGTTTTATTTGACTTCATGGGTGAAATAATGCTATGGTTGTTTGGGGTTTTTCACCCAAGAGAGATGGCATCTGAAGTTGATGGAAACTCAGTCGGTTGCAGGCTCTTATAAAAAGTGAATGGTAGTAGTCAGGCACCAAAATGGGTGCTTTTTCTATGGTGTGTATCTTTGTTACAGGGGTTTTTGGAGAAGACCAATGTGGGACATCTGAGTAAGAATAACTTATTCTTTACACGGATCGATTAAGATTCCGTCAACAAATTATTTGACAGAGATTCCAATCAAGATATTTGTTTAAGATTCCTCCATTCAATATATTTGATAGAGATTCCATCAATCAAGGAATTTAATAATCTTGGTAAAATATTCTTAATTGTTTTCAGATTTCATGATGATTGAAATAAATCTATTTTTTAATTTGAAATTCTAACATTTTAGGCTCAATTTTACTGACATGCTATATAGATGAAGCCTCGATTAATATATCTCATTAGTTGTGAAAATCACTTAAGTTTTCTTCAGGTTGCAATATCTTATATTTAAGATGTAAGATAAATGAAATACAAGTTGAAACCACATATCTAATAAAATGGATTACCAGAGGCATTATAATGATGGTAGGATTGTAGAGAATATGTTGTGTCCCACATAAGCTTTTTTCATAAATTTGGTGATTTAGACAGGAAATTTCTAGATTCACAAGGATGACTTGTCCTAACAACATAAAAGAGGGAGTTTTGTTCTGCCACGTGTTGCACTCTCGCCATCCTTCCCAAAACGACATCGTTTGGCTTAAAAGATCTTGTTGCCCACCGCCTTTCTTTCCATTCAAAATGCCATAGCTCTTGTTAGGCTTAAGCATTGATCGAAACGGAACCGTGGGAGCTCTGTTGTCTTCTCCAACCGCTGCACCACACATAACCATCAGATTTTGGCGATCACAGGTTCGTTTGCTCTTGAGTGATCCATTACAATCGTCCGGTATTTCATAGTCCGAAAACCCATCATCCTCTCCACGGTGGCGATTCCTCAAATCGCTGCAATAATTTCAAACTCTTGTCCAAAATAGAAACCCATAAGATTCCACAACTATTAAACCTGAAGAAACTACCGACTTCGACCCCGTTTTGCCAATAATTTCTGGCACCCAGTTCATTCCGGCGTCGGTGCCTACTATTCTCTTCTATCTCTGCAAAAGCTCTTTTCCAGAAATTTTGGTAAGTGTTATTACATCCATTCCTTTATTTCATAAATCCAAATTTTCATCGCCTTTTCCACGCCGACCACTGCAACAATGTCAAATCTTCGCCTGAAAATAGAAACCCATAAGATACCATAACTGTTTAACTCAAAGGAACGATCGATTTTAACCCTTTTTTGCCAACAAATTCTGGCCACCCACTTCATTCTGCCGAAGGTATCGTACTCTTTCTTTATCTTTGCAAAAACTCTCTTTTAGTGTTGTTGATTGTACTTATTTCGGAAATTTTGACAAGCGCGATCACAACCTCCTCCCAAGCCTCACCGTCTATTGAGATTCGACCCACCTCCTCCTAAGCCCCACCGTCGGAGTTTTGCTATCTTTGAAAGATTTGGAACAAATTTCTGCTGGCTTTCTCCAAAGAATAATTAGGTATGAATTTTGATTCTGTTTTGGGCTTAAGTCAATCTTTTATACTGGGTGTGTTGCTGTGTTAATGGAAATTGAGTTTTCCTATTCATTAAATTTCTTTTCCTTGTCATTTTGAAAGTTTATAAACCTAAACCATATTATATCTATTGAAATATATAAAAGAGAACTATTTTGTTTGGATAATTCAATGTTAATTTACAAGTCCCTCACTCTATGACAATTTAGATAGACTTCGTTTCAATTTCAATAGAAGGTTGTGTTCTTCAGTTACTTTACAATTTACATTATAGCGATATTTTAGTGTACGTATAACAATTTATACACCATACTTCTATGCATTTCTTGGTTAACTGGTGCTATTGAAGTTGTATGAAAGTATCATATTGTGTTTAAAAAATTGAATGAATCACCATATTCAAGGAAACGTGAATTTTCCCTTTGTACAAATTCAAACTTATTATGCAGTTTTATTTTTGACGAATGAAGAGAACTTTTGAAGGAATGAGATTTCAAGTGTACAGTTGTGAATGGGATTCTAATGTATGAGGTAATATTATGACAAAAGACAACAAGTAGAGTAGATAGATAAAAAATTGAGTTTCTGTTGAACTCTAATTTAGTGTGATTTTTTTCATTAAGTGTAGAATTCAGTTGAATTCGAGTTCTGGAGTGGCGCGTAATTAAGTTTTGGCTTCACTCTTAATTTCCTCAATTTGATTTTACAGTGTCGTGTTCGACTATTCAATTGTAATATGTTGAATGTACTAAATTTATCACATACCATTGTAGTTCGTTTAGGACTATTTTTTCTTTCTGCAATTGCTATTACAAAAATCCTTATCATTCTCTAGAATGAACTAATAATTTGAGCTAATCTGTCATGGAAAAGGATGAGGGGAAGTTATTAGGCTCGCATATATTGTAGCTGAAAGAATTTTTTTTTTAATCACCAAAAGTCTGAATAAATAAGCTATTGAGAAAGGTTATGGTCAGAGAACAGTTTCCATATTTGGTAGATTGTAAAGGTTAGGACGTAGAATTTTGTTTTGAAAAAGTGAGTGTTTGGGACTAATGTACATATTATGAAGATATCTTGGTTTTGATTTCTAATTTAAAAGAGATAAGATGAAAATGATGATAAATTATAGTTATTATTTTATAAATCTATTGGTTGAGGATTTTTTTAGTTGCTCATAGAGATGTCAAATCTGTTTTGATTGTAAGGTAGGGATGTTTCTTAATTATCAACACTTCTCTTTTTGGTTTTGTATAGTCTACGTCGATATTTTGACATTGGAATCCAATACGGAGAGGCTTGCGAGAAGGTTAACAGGGCAAGATAGTAGTTATGTATCCATTACTGATACTTAAATATGTTCTTGAGTTTGAAATTCCAAAAAGCTTACTGTGAGAAGGGGAAAGCAGATCTTTGGTATTGAAAGCTGGTTTTCTTGCCATATCTAAAAGGGATTTTTGACGGGAAGAAAATGATAAGCATTCAATTAGCACTTAGGTGGAACTTACTCATTGGGAAGTGGAATTAGTGCAGGAAGTGCTTAGTGCACTGCATGTCAAGAAATGACTAGGGATGACATGATCATGACAAAGGTTTCGAGGGGAAATATCAATATGAAGTCGTGTTATATGGAGTTGATGAAGGAGGGTAACAAAGGGCATTTGTTATGGATTGAGGTTGGGTCACCTAATGCTTGAGTCAACTAAGGTCTATTGTGAGAAAAGGCGAGTGAGTTTCTATAGGCTTGCACATCATGACTTACATGGAGGCTCACCACTTGTATTTGTAGATGTAGAACTTATGTCAGTGTAGTTATATATGTAGAAGGAGTCTTGATCAAGAGTCTTCTAATAATGATAAAGTGGACAGAGTAAGGGAACCAAGTAGTCCATTTCTTGTAATATCACCCTATAGGTCTTCCATAATGCATAGATAGTTTAGAAGAAGCCATAAACATAGTCAACAGAAATAAGTATTTCCTATTTCTCAGATCTCTTTTATCATCAAGTTCTTTTTCTTTGTTTTTTATTTGAATCTCACACTGTGTAACTAAATTTCTAGATACATAAACAGTGCGGCTCTTTTTACCATATCCGGTGTAGATGCAAGGAAATTCCAAACTGAGATAGAAGTAGGCTAGGTATCACACTCTATTGCTTAATATATATCACTTAACTAAACGATATTGCAAGATTGAAATGATAGTCTATAATGAGCCTACATTTTCAAACTTGCATCATTTTGTTCTTGCTACCTCTTCATGTCAAATATGCTAGAACTTGTATCAATAGAATATGTTAATACTGGATCAGCTTTCAGATTAGTTAAAGTTTGCTTCCTAGGAACAAAATCTATTGGAAAAATAGGAGTTTTTTTAACCTAAACATCATATTAATTCTCAAATTTTTAATTTTATTTATTCTGGGCAATCGGAAAAATAGGAGTTTTTTCAATTTTTTCACTAGAAATAATTACCTGGAATTTGATCTTATAGCTTCCAGTGTTAAAAAGTAAAACCTATTGATTAAAGTAATTTAATTTCTCACTTTTCAGGATTGTTAGAACTCTATAATGGATTTTCATCCGTTTGTATTTTGTATATTATGGCATTGATTTTTCAGCCAGATAATTATTTTGAATCAATTTTGTGGACAAATGAGCAAAATATTGGGATCAGCCGGTCAGGGTGGTAGCAAATTGAAACTTTTGTTCTTCTTGGAACTATAATTTTTTTATGCCTTAAATATTCTGCTTTAACTCTGATGATAGAAAGCCATTGTTCTGCCACCTTTTGTTGCCATAGCTTTCCGACCAAGGCCTGGTGTTTGGGAATTTGTACGTGTCAATGTATATGAACTCAGCGTCGACCAATTGACAATTTCTGAATATTTACGTTTCTGAATATTTACAATTCAAGGAAGAACTTGTGGATGGACGGTGAGTGATTTTCCTGATTCTTGATGTCAGAAAGTGTTGCTTCTCAATTTTGGAAGATGAGTAATGCAACGATGTGTTGATAACGTTATTACTGTAATCAAAGAGTTAGTTTCCCCTTTCTACGACACACTCAACTCCAGAAGTGGAAAATAATCTGTTTCTCTCTTGAATTTCATGGCTATTTGTTTTAATTTCATTTAAATTTTTGTAATACATGTTGCCCCATATGATTCAAATCATGTTTTCTTTGGTATGATATGTTGATTTTTGTTAGGTTTTGCGTGACCAAAGAGTGCGTTCCACCTTTCTACGACAAATTCAGTTTCAGTAAGTCGAAAATAATCTATTTTTCTCTTGAATTCCATGGCTATTTGTTTTAATTTCATTTAATTTTTCTAATACCTGCTGCCCCATATGATTGAAATCATGTTTTCTTTGGTATAATATGTTGATTTTTGTTAGGTTTTGCCATTGATTTTATCAATTCTGAATTTTCGTTTACGGGTGAAGATTTTGTTTCTTCATTTGATAAATTCAGTTCCTAGGTACATGACTGAAAGGTTAATGTTTAGGTTAAGTGTAATTTTCTGTAATTATGACTTAAAGGTTAATGTTTAGGTTAGTGTAATTATTCCTAGCTTAGTCATAGCCCATTCTTGTCTTTGTGGAATTCTCTTTTTAATTCTTTAGAATTGACTAGATCACCGTCGAGGGAGGGCAGAATACTCTTTCGTAGCTGTAGGTGCCTAGGAGGATTACTGGAAGAGGATGTAGTTAGGTGGATTAATGTCTTTTGACAATATGTGTGGCAGTTTTTTAAAAATGGCATACTACAAGATCATAAACAAAGCTCAAGGTAGAAGAACGTGCCTTTTCATTTTCTACGGACTACTAACCTCAAGGCAAAGAACAGAAGTGCACCTGCTTATAATTTAGTTGCATGATTGATGCTAAGTTATTTAATCAACTAGACCCTCCATAATTTTATTCTGAAACTTAAAGAAAGGCCTTCAGGAGGTAGCTTATTGTTTGTTTATTCTGACAGTTAAATATGTTCAAATAACTATAAAAATCCATGTGATTCTTGATTCTTGATTACTAATCTTGTGGAAAAGGAATATATTGAAATTTTATGATGTTTCCCTCTTATATATATTTTAAGTTGTCCGACAGTTGTACCTTTTGAGCTTGACTACTAACTTAGCTTGTGTTTGTATTGCTATAAATGATCCATCTTCTCTTTTGTAGTGATGGACAACTACAAAAATGCACGTTAGTATCTTTATGGCCTTACTCCTTCGCAGATGGATATGTTCATGACAGAAGATAATCCTGTCAGACGGCAGGAAGAAAAAGCCACTGAGGTTTGCCTCTCATGTTTAACTGCTTACAACTTCGATGACTATTGTTTTGAAAGGTTGTGTGTTATATTCTGGTGTTTGTCCCACTCCCTCCAAAAGAGCAAATAAAAAAATAACAAAACATTTCATGTCCTATTTCTGGCATTTCATTTAGGTGAGTTGAACTAAAGTTTATTATTGAAAATACTTTTAGCTCAAAGTCCTTGTACTGTTTGCTACCATGATAGGAAAGCATCTCATCATCCTGCAATTATTTAAATAACAGTGGAATGTGGAGTCTTTCTGGCATGAATGAAAGAGGGCACTCAAAGTATAGCATGAGTGTCAGTATGTACCGTGAAGGAGCTAGAGGATATGGAAGAACCAGAACCGCTCCTCCTGATTTGCCATCTTTGCTTCTAGACACTCGAATTGTCTATCTTGGAATGCAAGTATTGCATTGCTTTCTATCTCTTGCTTAGCAGACTTCTATTTATTTATTTAATATCTTTAATGTTAGTGGTTACTCATGTTTTCATTTCTACTGTTATGTTAATTAATTGTCGTAAATATTCGCAGATTGTACCAGCCGTAACTGAGCTTCTTGTCGCTCAGTTTATGTGGTTGGATCGTGAGAGCCCATCAAAGCCCATATATCTATGCATAAACTCATCTGGCACCCAGGTGAATCATATAACATAATGTAGCTTTTATTTTCCTGTCTTCACTACTTGAGAACAATTAAATTAAATTAATTTAGCCCGATCTTTCTCCCTGGATTTTTCTAAAGCCATCTCTATTGTTTTGTTTACCAACTTGGGAAGAATGCCTGGAGGTTGCAATTGAAAATTTTGGACTTGCTGGAGCATAGGATATAGATATTGCAGTTATATAGTCAAGAATCATTGTTCAAAGGCAACTACTTTAGAAAGTAGTTATGAATAACATTTTTTGTTTTTTATTTTTTAGTATGTACTTTTTAGTTTTTCTATGAATATATTGGGATCTATAATTTCTCACCATGTTGTACACACTGCAACTTTAGGACTAAAAGATGATGAGATAGTACATGCATGAAATGAGATGTATGTGCTGATAGGTAGCAAATTCGTGATATACTTTTATTTTACTTTGCAGGACTAACTGAGATCTTAACTTCATATTTTCTTGTGGAATCTTTTCAGATTGGCTTGGATGGAATTCGTATGCTTGACCCAGCAACCAGTCGGTTTCTGCGAATTTATCCTCTCGACACAATAACTAGATGTGAAGTATGCTTTTATTTATATCTTTTATTTATTTATTTATTTTAGTGTGAGGGTGTATGGTTGGGACTTGGGTCGATGGGTTTATATGCTATGATAGCGACATGGATGGCTATGGACATGCAGTCTTAGAAACTTCAAGATTCGTAGGCTTTATTATGAAAAATTATGGTTTTGATTTGAAGCGAGCTCAATTGCTGTTCTATAACATATGTATTATCTGTCACTTCTAAACTTGAATTATTAAATTGGGGTGTGTCCTCCAATTAATTTTATTGCTAGATATTTGACTAAACTTTTGGGATGGGGATAATGCTTAGGCAAGTGGAAAAGTTTATGGGAGTAGATGGGTCATATGGGAGAGGGCCAAGAGGCCATCTAAGTTTACATCATGTTCATTGCTCTCATAAATTGCTGGTGTTGCTAAGAATTTATAAGATTAGGTGTTGTAATCCAAATTACATTAGGTTCTTTTGGTCTCTGCTCTTGCTCATATTTTGTTGTGTGACTTGGCTGAATGCTCACTGAGGAATTTGTTTTTTACTTTTTAGGCTTTTGATTCTTCAACATTTGCTTTTTGGTCAAAAAGTTCTGTGGATTTTGAACCAAGGCGTATCAGACTGGATAAATAAAATGTTATACCACCAATAATACCATTTTCAATACTGTTACAGCTGTAACTCTACAGGTATGAAATTGACAGAAAATGACTCTCTTGATCGTGTAATAACATTTACACTTCTATGAAACTTCGTTGACTCTTCCACACATTTTTGTAGGTCTATACTCTCTTCACTTCGTTACTATGGAAACTACACTTGAAGAACGCGTGAAGAAGATTATTTAAATGTTACTTCCCTTTTGATATGTTTTATCTTAACTTCAGGAATTAATTTTTTATTTTAGTGAATAAGAATTGCAAGGACTACGATTTTGTCCATTTTCGTTTTCTTTCTTTCTTTGTTGTTAAATTTTGTGTCCAAAAATATTCTTGAATCGAAATACCTCTTTCTCGAAAAAATAAATAAATTATATTTTTTTGTTGTTATCCAAATTTTTATGGCAAGAGACCTATTCAATTTATTTAGGAGAGCACACAAAGACAGGCGCCTCCTAGGTTTCAGGCTTTTAAATTGGTGAGTGAGCTATTAGCCTCTTAAGTCGAAGCTTTTATTATTAATATTTAGCAATATTTGAAGAACTTCCATAATCAAGCTATGCAAGTAGTTTAAGTGGAGTGAAGTTTATGGATTTCTCATGAGTGTAATTAATGTTCGTTGATTTTACGCTTCTTTTCTTAATTACTGTTTAATTAAGTGGACGGGATTTCTGAGCTTTTGTTAGCATCCAAATGTCCGAGAGTTCGAGGTCTCGCATCACAATAACCCTCGGCTGCAGTGGTCAGGTAATCTCATTACCATACTTCTTTTATTTATACGTATATTAGATCACGTTTATTATTTTAGCAGTTTCTTATTCGGTTTGAAATATTTTAATAATTTTGAACTGCACAAACAATTGGTTCTTTGGGTTCTCCATCTGCTAATTTTTGTCAAATCCCATTGTCCTATTATTAATTTGTAGTTTTTTTGGGTTTAAAAAAAATATTGTTTTCAGTTTTATGTGGAAATGTAGATTCTATTCAGACGCTTTTGCTTGTCCTCACAGTAAAAAAAAACATGTAACTTGTATGTTTTTTATAATTTGATGGTATAGAATTACCTGCATTTGAAGTCTATATGCATTTTTGAATTATGCACTTGTGATTGGTTATGTTCATTTTGATTGTATTTTCTAGGTAGTAAATAGTGCAGAGGTTGCATTAAATAGTTCTTTTTGTTGATTCAGAGGTTGCATTATCGGTTATGACTAAGCTAAAATAAGTGGAAAACTTGAGTTAGTATCATAACTTTGTGTGTGATGGTCATATGGGAAGCTTAAGCTTAAGGTTGACCTTGGTCTTGCTCGGATAATTTTTAGCTGAGGTATAATTTGCTTAATTGTTTAGAGTTTAATATCCTGTGATATAAAAAGAAGCTGATAATTATCGCAAAAAAAATGTGTTTTTTTGGTGATATGAGTTCACTTTATTGCAAGTAATCTATATCTATTAATCTATTAAATGTCGATAGCTTTGTCTGCTGTTGGAGCTGTTTATCTGCTGAAGTGCACATGCTGAAGTGCACAGATTGATGCGAAAATAGGTGGGATAACTGGGGAACTTACTGAAGGTATTCTTTTGTCCAAAAGTCAGTCAGTTCTATTTTTCTAATTGTTTTGGAAATATTTATTCTTAGGTTTCTCTATCTTCATTGAATGGAGGCATCCATCCAAGTGGACGGAGGTATTTCTTCGTGCCTCCGTCCACATGCCTCCATCCAAGCGGACGGAGGCATTTCTCCATGCCTCCCTCCACGGAAAAATTCCTCCGTCCATAGTGGACGGAGGCATGGAGAAATTCCTCCGTCCACAGCGATGGAGGCATTTCTTCATGCCTCCATCTGGCGGTGTCTCCATCCTGGATGGAGGTGCCTCCGTGCACTATTTTTTTTTTTTTTGGTTGCCTTCGTGAGACACCTCCATCCAGGATGGAGGCACGGCTAACATTTTGTGGTGTTTGCATATCTTCATTTGCATAGAAAATTATTTACCTTGTGCTGATATTAGACATATCATAGCTTATTTTGAAGTACTTTTGTTAAATTAATGTTATTTCATGACAGGAAGTTGCTGTCAAAAAATTAATGAAACAAGACATCACAGGCAATGCACTCGCACAATTTAAATGCCAAGTAAGTGCGAATTTAGCTCATTTTGTCTTGTGCACTATATACCTTAGGAACAATAGGTAAATGCTCAAACTCTGTTCACTGTCATTCATTTTATGCAGGTTGATATCATGTTGGGGCTGAGGCATCCAAATGTTGTTCTTTTCATGGGAGCTGTAACAACTCCCCAGAATCTGTCCATATTGATCGAGTTTCTACCAAGGTAAACCTCAATAGCTCATGTTACAGGCTAGGATGGATTTAGCTGTCTTAGCACATTCTTAATCCCATAGAATGGTGGTTTCTGTCCCTGTCTCAGACAAGTAACCCCAGCTTGCATACACACTAGGATGGTTAACTAGGTTTGAGTACTTTTTCTGTGGAATACTTTTGTGTGTTATCTGCTTTATGAGTTCCTTTTTTCCCTTTTCTCGTTTTCCCTGTGGGTAGGTAAGATGAGATTGTTGAAGCTCTTTTCATAAGGCCAAGCTATTACACAGAATCATGTCTTTCCTGATTCTACTGCCTTTTTATGAATGAAAGGACCTGAGTTGGAGATATCCTATGAAATCATAACATATGCATGATCTGTTCGGCTTCTTCTGCACTATATATCCAACACAAGTTGATGTTATGTTTCTGTTTATCCCAATTCTTCTATAGGTGAACGTCGTCTTCTATATGCAGGGGTAGTTTGTATAAGCTGCTGCACCGTCCAAATATCCAAATTGATGAAAAAAGGCGGATAAGAATGTCTCTTGATGTGGTATTAGCCGGATAATCTTGTTCTCTTTTACTTCAGTTATAAAGAATTTACTCCCATCTGTTCATATATCATTTTCTTGCAGGCCAAGGGATTGAATTACTTACACATGAGCCAACCTATCATTGTGCATTGTGATTTGAAGACTCCAAACCTCCTTGTTGATAAGAACTGTGTTGTTAAGGTTTGGTCTAATGATTAATATTTAGGACATTTTCGGTATGACACTAGACCTACCTTTCCTCCCCACTGATTTATTCTCTCGTGCGTGGCTTGCTAATCTCTATTAAAACTTAAAACAAATGAATAACTATTTAATTCCTTTTCATTTGATTATTAAAACTAATTTTTATACAAACAATACCTTACTTATATTAAAAAAAAAATGCATTCAAATCACTCCACACTATTAAATACCCAATTAAACTATACAACACGTGCATTGCACATGCTCACACTAGTATTGATTAAAAGGGTAAATTTCATAGCTTAAGACTTTGTATTCATCTCGTGGTTAATGTGAAATTTTGATTTCAGGCTTGCGAGATGTGACGAAGGAATTCTGAAGGGTGTGATTCCATAATTTTCGTCGAAAGGAAACAATGACTTGTCCTAACTTGATAAACAAACTCAAAAATGAAAAAAATAAAATTATGTACTAGTTATATTCATGTTTTTGTTTCAGGAATTATTTTTGTGCAGTATATAGTAGGACTTGGGATACCTCATGTGACAAAACATATATTGAATCGACTTTCAGGAAGCCATATTCAACTATTGATGAGCAATGTCTTGGAAAAACATTTGGAGTCTCAAGATGAAGAGACGGAGTGATCCACAGTTGTAGATGGCTATTCGGCATCTTTTAGAAACTATGTTGCCCAATCTGCTTTGGATGTCTCTAAGGTTTGATGTCCTTTTATTCGTTTGCTGGCTATGCTATGACTGATATTCACGATAATTTGTTAAACAATGCACCCGAGTTCATCAAATTACATGTCGCGTAGTATATTATAATACATACAATATAGTTATTGATGCTACGGAAATTGAAGATGAATGCAATATTACTTTATTAAGCCTTGTACCGTCGTGTTTGATTTTCTACTAACATGACAAAAAGAGTACATAATTAGATACAATGTACCCAACATGATGTCATTTGTGCAATATTTTATTCCATATTATAATGAGAGGAATAATAACTTTTTGGAGAATGTGTGGTTAAAAAAGAAGGAAAAGTTTTTGAGTTTACGTATAATATTATTTTATTAAAAAATGTTTGATTGATAAGAAAAGAATAAAAAATAAATTATAATTTAAAATGGAATAATGGGGGCCAAACTATTATCTAGCTGTCTGCTGTTATGTTAAGGAGATGAGCTTTGATCTAAAATAAAGATTTTCTTGGATTTCTTGCTGCATGCTATAATTATAATAATAAATTCTAAAGAACAGAATTGGTGTAACATGCATTAACATATTGCTAATTAAAATGTTTTTTGTAACGTTTTTCTCGTGGATTCAATTTTGGATCCTGAAGGTGTCACTGTTCTAATTTTCCATGAACGAGATCTCTTTCAGAAAAAACCTTCTTTCAAATATTTAGTCATTTTACATCAAGGAAAGGAAATAAAGAAAAACATACTTTTAACTCTCATCAACAAATATAAATAGGAGTTTTATCTATGAAGGTTTGTTCATACTTTTAGGTCTTGCCTCCAGATTCGATAAAAAAGACGTGATTCAGCCACCACCGGACCAGATTTCCCTGCAGACACCCTATTCCCACCAGAGGGACATCCAGCTTCAAACAAAAAAATCAGTGGCTTCGATCACTTTGAATAGAGAGGATGCCTCGAAACAGACTACATTACTATAGATCTGCAAAGAAATTTTCCGAATTGATGGAATTTTGTCCTTTGCTTGCCTTTTTCGTTTTGGTCCCTGCAAAGGTAGCAAAAGCATATGAATATAAAGCTCAAACAAATTTTGAAGAATTCATGTGTTTTTACATTTTTCTGTCCTTGAGTAATTATGTTATCAATGTTTTCTGTCAAACAAGATCCTTCTATTTCAAGTAATGGAACTGAAGTACAGTGTTACGCATAGTATTAGAACAAGGTTGGTCTTCCAAGCCATAGAACCCTGATATACCTTTTGAAGGTTTTTGCATACCATCATCGACATCCATCCCGTCATTGTCACTGTCTGCCATGGCAGAATTATTCTGTACTGAAGCTTGCAGTAAATCCTCCAGACCCCATAGCTACATCCACAGAAGAGGTGGAAATAATTGAGCACCGTAACTTTCTATTGTGTATCAAGATGACTTTCGAATCTACTGCAAAAGTTTATCTGAGACAGAGGGGAGTATGCACCTTTAATGTCTGATCATGGTATATGCTGCCAAGAAACTTTCTATCATGAGAAAAGGCTGTAACACCAAATTACACAAGTCAGAGATACAATATCTAAATATTGTAATTTACTATGATTACAACTTATTGACACGTATGAATGGTGATTTTGTGAACGAAATAAAGGACATGAACTCGTTTCCTCGAGTAAATAGAAAAATGAAAAATTAGCTCTCCCTGAAAAGGTTAAAAGAAAGTCATACCAAGACGCTCCACGGGATATTCCGAATGCTCTGCAATTGGCTGAATTATTCTGTTTGGCAATATGCCTATCAAGCTAAACAAAGAATAAGAAAAATTTGAGTTCAATCTATAGAAGAATTCATAAATCAAATGGATAAACTCTTCCTGTTCTGAGGAAAAATATTTCACCTGATTATTCCATTCTCCGATCCAGCTATTACTCTATCTTCATCAAGCTTAAGCCCAAAATCAGGGATAGAAGAAAAGGTGATTTTTAGGATTCAACAAGGTAACTGCCTGATAAAGCATAAGAAATATTACACCATAATAATTAAAAAACACTTACCTTCAGCAACGCGTCAACAGAGTTAGGAGAAAGATCAACGAAGCGATCACTAAAAATTGAAAAGACATATAGACCATCAGAAATGCAATCAACCACTACCCTTGTACTACTCACCAAAGATAAAATTTACAACTTTATTTGATGTTTTGTTAGACTACAATTGTACCAATAACAAGGATACCTGCAATCCTTGAAAAAACCCCATGAATACAATAACAGGGTTCCAGTCTGTGTCCCACATATAACCTTTCGACCATTCTAGTCACACAAATAAAACAGTTAGATGCATCTAAACTAGTAACAAATGTCTAGTTTTTTTTCTAATAATAAGCAATCAAAGCAAGTATTCCTGTTGTTTTATTGGCCTATCTTTGAATGAAATGGGTAAATTCAACCTTCATGATCACCACAGAAAGAAGCTCATCCTCAGAAAACTCTGATCGAGTTTGAACCTGAATTCAGATAATACGATAGAGATTTAGTTATCTACTGAAATAAGTTGAAGGCTGGACGAAAGATAAATTGGCTAAAGGCATGGCGACTGAATACAACAGGAATTTAAAAACACAAAAAGCTGAATCAACAAAAAGAATTACCTTGTTGCTTCTCAGATTGCAAACAGATAGAGTTCCATCACCACTGAAGCAAAAGAGACATAATTAGAATATATTAGTCAAGTCCATAGAAACATTCAGTGCAGGAGATGCACTGACTAAAAGTTGGATGTAGGTCTAAAGATGAACATACTCGGACGAGAGATTTAAACTTGGCAACATTTACAAGAGACCACAACATTATGGCTTTGCATGGAAAACACAAGACCAAAGCCTCAACTATGAAAGTGAACGGTGAATATACATATTGTACAGCATGAGAAAACTGTGAAGGAAACCAAAATATCAACCTTCAAGTCCATGCAATCATAAGACCAACAACTAGAAGAATACCAAAATCACTTTGAAGTATTGAAGGCACAAGCGTTCAGTCTAAACTGTAAATACATTTTACATCTTTCGAATTTGAGAAAGAAAGAGAAGCCATGAGTACCTCGTTCCTAGTAACTTCATGGAATCAGAGGCAAAAGTCATATCTGAAATGTACTCCTCATGAGCATTAAAAGTGTTGCAACAAGAACGCTGCCGGGTATCCCATACCTGTATTGCAGGGAATAACCACATCATAGAAAGAAAATGAAGGATTTGAATCAAACTTCCTCAAAAAATTAAGGCTCAACACTTGATGATTGGCAAAAACACATGGCATTCCCTTGGGAGAAAACTGCAAGAGGAACCAATAAAAAATGCTGGCGTGCTGTATAATAGTGCTCTTAGTCCAACTGAAAATATGGTAGTTGTTCACTAAGCTATACAATGAATACTATCACAGCTACTGCTATTTTAAAGTCAGGTAGGAAGACAAAGAAGAGAAATATCCAATATTTGATGACTGTAGGTGCATGGATGAAATTAAGAAATAAGATGGAAACACAGGTTCCTTTGCTAGCACCTCAACATGAACCAGAAAGTGATAGGATAAAATAAGAAGAGAGGGGTGTAAATTAACCACATATCATGAAGGCAAAAGAATAAGGATTTAATAAGCTGCAAGACAGCAATGCTTTTCAGACATTTATGGCTTTCAAAACCCAACATCTTTCATGTTTAAAGATAATTGAGCAGATGTAAGTTTCATGGACATTCCTAGGTCTCACTATGGATAAAATACAACTTGTTGGAACTTGTTGTCATCTGTGTCACACTTCTAGTCATTTCCGTCAACTAAGATATTAGATCATAGCAAGAAGAAGACCACAAAAAATGGGAGACCAATTTTCCTGATTAACATTTCGACCTAACCATCCTCGTCACATAAAAAAGTTTAAATTTATACATAATTCACCTTGATACAGCCATCGTCGTCTCCAGATGCAATGGTTGATTCAGTTAAATTAATTATTCGATTCACAGCAGCCCTGTATTAGAATCGACACTTTGACTTAGCATGTATTTATGTTCAGTAATATAGAGTATAATTCGTCAATGGCACATAAAATTATTTCGGTACCAACCCATGAGAGTTCTCCAAACAATTGCTGAAAACAAATTCAATTTGAGAAAAATCAAAACAAATTGCACTGCAATCAGTCGTCGTGCTCTGAAGAACCTACTTTAATAGTAAAAAATTAATAATACTTTAAATAAACTAATTACCACGCCCTTCGCTAATAAAGCGGAGTGCTCTACATGATTCGGTATGAGCAGACACTTCCAACAGCCTAATTATCAAAATTAACAGCTAAATCAATCAGAAAAGCGAAGAAATAACATGATTCACAAGCACGCCAACAGGTGTACGCAAACATGGGGTGTTAAATTTCACCTTTGAGGTTGAGATTCAGCAGCAAAACGATACCTAACACGAAATAATATAAATAATTTATCAGCCAAAATATTTTACTTGCTAAATTTGCGCTTTCGGGACCAAAAAGAAGCAAATATATGGATTGAACTTACAGCAGAAGGTGACCGGTGATTAGCCCGGAAGCAACGAGATTATTGGAGGGATGAAAATCGAGGTCAAATGGAAGTTTTCCCAAATCTATCTCCATTACATAAAGTTGTGAAATACTTATTGACAAAAGGTGAAATTTTTGTTTCAAGATGAGGGCTTTAGTTCAGGGAGGTTATTGAAGATGGCGAAATTTGGTGGCAGGGTTGGGGTAGAGTTGCAGGTAGGACGGGGTGGAGGTTTAGGGTTTAGTAAGAACATAAAAGTTGAGAAAGACTAACATGGGATGGGACATTGGGATTTAAGAAAATATAAAAATAAGGGAAAATTGTAGTATGGGTCCCAAACCTTTGAGTTATGCTACATGTACAAAGTTGGGTTACAAAGTTGGTTGACAAAATGACATCTACATCAATCATTTTAAAAACAGTTTAAATAATTTGAAATCAACGGTCTCGATTTTGCCAACACACTTTGTAATCCAACTTTTATAACTCAACTTTGTACAAATAGCTTTATTGCAAACCTTTTCCTTCCAAACTTTATCCTAACCTTTATTTTGTGGCAGCGGAGGTTCCAAACCTTTAAAAAATATGTACCGGAGGTCCAAATGTTTCCATCCATTTGACCGTTAGTTGATCAAGCAAATTGATTTTGACCAATTCTAGTAAGGCGAAAATAATAACTTTGCATATTTAACCTAAAACAATAAAAAAGAAAAAGAAAAGAAAAGCCAAGCCAAGCAACCACTGCCGGCACCACCACGGCCAACACACTGTCGGCATCCTCCTCTGTGCCGACACCACCACCACAGTAAATCGCTACCACCACTGCCGGCACCACCACGGCCAACACACTGTCGGCATCCTCCTCTGTGCCGACACCACCACCACAGTAAATCGCTACCACCACAATATAAAAATTAGCTCTGCTTCAACTGAGATCTTCATTAGGGTTGAGGGCAAAAGAGTTGCCCATAAAATTCGAACCAGGTCAAATTGGTGAAGGCTCATGTGTTCATTGGACGTACCATGAAGAGTAGGTGCTTGTAGTGGTTTTTGCGATCATGGGTCCCACCATTGGTGCCAAAAAAGCCATCTGAAAGTCGTGGAATGTTCGAAGATGTAGTTTGCTGGTTTTGTTTCTGTCCGTTTAAGGATGATTGATGACCATGGACAAGGACGCCTTGATATGTATAATTACCTGGAATGTTGGGCATGACATAGGTGTTGCCGGAATTGGAGATTTCGTTTGTTTTTGGAGACTTGAGCATGTTGTTTTTGCCCAATTTTTCGATAAATTTAGGAGGATTCGAGGCAGGGCGTTGGGTGGAAGTTGTAGAGGGCGATGAGGGCTTTCTAATGGTATGTATGTCTAGCGATTTGGGTGGTAGCTGGTTGGAATTGAGGGTGAAAATGGCGTGGAGTGGAGGCGGAGGCGGGGTGGGGCATATTTTCTTTTTAGTTTAATTGTTAATAATATTTGGAAAAATATAAAATGCAAAGTTATCATTTTGCCCTTACTAAAATTGGTCAAAATCAATTTGTTTGGTCAACTAACGGTCAAATAAATGGAATTTGGACCTCTAGTGCATATTTTTTAAAGGTTTGGGACCTCCACTTGCACAAAATAAATGTTAGGATAAAAGTCTGCAAAAAATGAAAAGATTTGGTACTGTTGTTGCAATTTTCCCTTAAAATAATTATAGAGGGGTCATTACTCACTATGGGGGTGTTGACACCCATTTTAATAGAAAAATGTGTTTTTAATTAGTGATTGATGGAAGAATGTGTGGTTAAAAAGTTAGGAGAATTTTTAATTGAATAGTGATTGATGGAAAAATAAGTAGTTAAAAAGTAAGGAGAATTTTTAGGTTTATGTGTAATATTATTTTATTGATAGAATGTGTGGTTGAAATGAAGAAAGAGAAAAAATTGAGAATGAGAATGAGAAAAAAATGGATGTCAAACGGGGGCTATGTCGCTTATTGACGCAAAACCCACCTACCTATTAGACATACTACAAAAAAAAAATCAATATTTTTTTTAAAATAGCACAAGAGGTCCCTGTTTGAAACCTTTAGTATGAAATACCCTCACTGTCCATTTTCTCAATAAAAAATTATAAAATGACGAATATATTCTCACATTTATATAAAACGAAAAGAAAAAGAAAAAAATAAATAAAGAACTTATTACAATCATGATCCAAAAATTTCAAAAAATTACAAATGAGTCACAAATAAATAATTAAAAAATAAAACTAAAAAAAATTCAATTCCTCTTCCTCTGTCTCTCCCACCACCAATGTTGCCATTGTCGTAGCCGATCAAAAATGTAAACTAAAAAAATAAAAAAATTTATCACCCTTCCATCCCCAAATCTTCAACACCCCCACCCCTCTCCCCCAATCAAAATCACAGCCACCGTCACTACCACCACGTCCTCTTGATGGTATATTGATTGTTTTAGGATAAACTTGATGGTCGGATGACTTGTTGAGAAAATGAGTGAAAATCGAAGACAAAGAACTAAAAAGGAACATATCTTGGAAGTTGGTGACCAAGGTGCAAAGCATTGATAGATGAAAGACAAGCAGTTAGTAAGAGGCTTGAGCTACATGTATTAGTAAATTCAGAGACCAAGTTGAGCGCAAACCAAAAGGGATGCCTTACATGATAAGCTAGGATGATTACGTAAACTGTTAGTCGATGTTTTAATTCAAAGATTCTTCTTTTTATTCTCAATTTGTATTTGATTGCTTGATGTCAATGCTTTAATTAACGTTTAATTGAATGACCAACCTTTGAATGTTTTTTGAAATGTTTTGAAAATCAACCTGAACATCGATCCGAAAAAGGTGAATGGTCAAAATGTTGAATCGGGTTAAGCTGCGGCTAGACTAGTTATACTAAATTAAGTAATAAATATACCAAAAAAATTGAAAAAAAAATACGTTAATTTTTAAATTAATTAATATATGTAACTAAAGGACTTTTAAACTCGGTTGCATTTAATATTTATTATACGCACCTCTAATTTCATCAAAATTGAGGTTTTATTTATTTTTTATTAAAAACTTAAAAGTTACTTTTCAATTTCAAAATTTAATTTTAGCCATACATTTCAAGAAAAGAAATAATTTATTTTGAAGAACTAATTTCTTATATAATTTTTCAAAGTTGGACTTTGCTTTGAACCAATTTTTTTTCCATTTATTAGTTTAAAGGGTTTTAAGTCATAACTTGGAGTTTTTTCGGTTGAACATAATCGATTTAGTCCAATTTTGACAACATTGATTTTTGGCTTATTTTGTTTTTTTTTTGGGAGATTCAAAGTATGTGTAGCTCCTAGTCGCCGGGCTGAAACTAGGATTGTAAAGTCATGGGGACAAATTTCACAAATTTTTAATTGTTGGGGCAAATTTGAAAATTATAAAGAATTCTTTGGAAATCTTGAAAATTCTTGTGCAAAATCTTAAAAATTCAATATAAAAAATTCAATAGTGTGGGAGCAGCTGACCTCATTTCCCCACTGTAAATTCGTCCATGCATAGTTGTTAATCAAACGTTAAAGATAATTATCTATACTTTGTACAATCCATTTAATAATCTTGTGATTACATACGTGAAATGTATTACATTAGACATTCGAGGATATAACAATATACGACATTACAACTATAAACCAAGCATAGACCAGGGAGGAAATGCGTAAAAGGAAACAGAGGTTCAGGACAATGGAGAAAACTACCCAAACAACCACTTCACAACCAATGCTGCAACAAACCCACAAATGTTGTTGATGCTGTTGGGTTTTGGTTTGGGATTGGGATTGGTGTTGGATTTGGTTATCTGCTTTTTCAAATATAACTTCCATCGCATTTGTCCTTTAAAATCACAAGTCTTCTGTTGCATATGTTCATTTAGCTTGTAAAACTCTTATTTCGTCTTACAATCTTTACTTTGACCACGATAATCCATATATAATCTACTTAGATCGGGACATACCACGCGAAGCAAGTACAAGCATTTTCCTTCCTTTCGCACAGGAAAAATCTTATGTCAAGTTTGATTCTGTACAAATATGTGAATCATTGTTTCCTCAATTATAAAACGTTGGGTCAAACGATTTGCATAGTCAAAAATATAAAATGTTTTCTAAATGATGCATGGAATAATGCGCATTTTGACATTTTGCCCTTCAACGGACCAATGTGCATGAAACTTGCGTCAATTAACGATAGGAATTGATGGAATTAACCTACAAGGATAAAATGTGTAAATTAATGAAAGATTGAGGTTAAATTAAAAAAACAAAATCATATATAAGAGTGAAAGGTAGGGATGGCAATCAAGTTTGGCTTGGCCGAAAAAAAGTCCTAGCTAACTCCGCTCGTATCCACTGAGCCAAGACTTGAGTGACCTTCATTTTCGAGCAACGTCCCGAGCTTGAGTTGGCATGTGTGGCTCGATGAGCCATTCCGAGCCGGCTCGTGTAACATACAAAAAAGGCCATTTTTGGCATGTGATTATACAGGAAGCTACAGTAGCTGCCTTTTTGCAGCTTGCACACAAGCAATCTAGATTGCTTGCGTGCAAACATATGCTCATGTAGACAGCTGTACAGCTCCATGTCTCTTGCAAGCAACTGCCTGTATGTAGCTACCAACAAGCCTGCATGTAGCTGCCGATAGCTACACTAATTTTAACTGAATTTGAAATTGAAATTAAAATTTTACATTTTGTAAAACGGGCCATTTTTTTGGCCTATAAATGGGAATGTAAAATTTTGGTTTTGAGATCAACTTCACTTAACAATATTTAATTTATAATATTCTATTTTTCAATACTACTCTCCAACTTCTTTGCTTCGATATTCAATTTCTTTTACTCTAATTTTTCAATTTTAAGTGTTCCAAATATCATAAATATCATTGAATTTTACTAGTGATGGGGTTAACCAATTTAAGAGCAGTTCGAGTACTCATTCGACTACGATGCATCTGAAAATATTCCAACTGACTTGGAGGATATCCAAAAGGAAGAAATACTCCAAACTAAAAGGTCAAAGAAAGAATCATCTGATTGTTGGTAACATATGATACCAAAAAAATTGGTGTTCAAAATGGAGTGGATATTTGGAAAGCATATTACAATTATTGCCGTAAGGAACTTAGTTGGAAGCTGAGTTCAAGCACATCTCATGTAAATAGGCACGTAACGAGTACTTCTAAAGCGAAACCAGTTGATCTCCACCCAAAACAGGCTGAGCTTGTGCTCGGTGGTTCTGGTTCTACTCTTTTCACATTCGTATATTCACATGAAAGATTTCACAAATGAGTGATTGCAATTGAGATGCCGCTTACGGTGATAGACTCTATTCACTTTACTCAACTCGTGTAGAACTATCTTTAACCCAAGTATATTTCTTTGTGTAGGAATACTCTCCACGTAGACAATATAACATTATGTAACCCAAGTATATTTCTTTAACCCAAGTATTTTTTTTTTTTATAGTGTTATATCATTTACCCTTGATTTATGGATCAGTGGTAACAAAAAATGTTATATTGCTAATACGGCTCATTACATTGATTACCTTTGAATTCTATATAAAAGGATTATTGCATTTATATCAATAAAATATCCGCATAATGCCACTAACATATACCTGATTTTAAAGGAGATTATACAAGAATTTAGTATGCAAAAAATTGTTTGAAATTTTACTTTTAACAATAACAGTGTAAACAAAGTTGTTATTAAAAAAAAATATTAATGATCCGAACCCTACATTTGGAAGTTTTTTTTTTTTATATGCGTTGTGTATGTTACATTATCAATTTGATTAAAAAGATGATTTAGAACATATAAGAGGACAATTAAACAAAATTAGACAAGAAATAAATTTCATTGCTATGTCACCATTAAAAAAATAAACATTTAATAGTTTGTGTACACAACATGATTTATAGGAGAAATCATTTACCATTAATATAATACATAGATGGAACTCTACACTTGAATGTGGAATTATCATATGTACATATAGAATCTTCATTTTGTGAAATGTATAACTATCATAGATTTGCTCTGGTACCCATTACGGGTACCAGCAATTGTACCTATTTTTTGTCTTTTTCTTATTTCAAAAGCCTT